AGCAGGAATCAAGGGGCAGCACACCTTTGTTCTTCGGTGCTTGCAGGATAAGATTCAGATGAGAGGTTCTGCCTATGAGTTTCGAATGAGTTGGTCATAGTGAACACCGCAATTTCAAGATTCTATATGACTGAAAATGAGTGGGGAAAATGTGGTGGACGCTTGGTTTTAGAGATTTTTTCCTTCTTGATGACTTTTTCTGCAAACGCTGTTACAGATTGTTCCTCCCTAGTGATTGTTCCCCATTATCCTCTGTGTTTCATCTCGTCTTTTGGAGGAAGGCAGATGCAGCAATGGCTGCATGAACAGGAAGGATAAATTTTATCCAGGGATGACCTTTCCGAGTTCTTTGTGGAGTTATTTCTCATTGTTTTCTTCCATGCTGCGTGGTCATTCCCTCTTTTTTACCGTTCCTGATCTGTCTGTCATACAGAGGTGAAGTCGTAAAATGGGATCCCAAGAAAAAAAAAATCACGTTTCGTATTACAAAGCCTGACTTCTTTTCCTCTCCCCTTTTCCCAACGAGAGGGGCTTTAACCTGCTTGAGGCCATTGACAGGGGAACACCAGGCTGAGGAATTCGGTCTCTCAGACACGTTTTCCAGTAGTTGTTGTGCCTGCTTGTTTACAAGGGAAGGGCTCTACCTATCCTGAGGACATATGCAAAACGGCAGTAAAGAACTCAAAATGACAGCCATTAGGCCCATGAATGAAGTTCATTTGCATATTTAGAAATGGCCCGTATAGATCAGAGTGATCACCTGTACTTGCTCTGCCGTCCTACACTTAAAAAGGGAACCCCCACATTAAAGCTCTTCAACTATCCTTTTCTAGTAGGAGCTGTCTCTGGAGATGTACCAACATTTCAATGTAATTCAACTGCTCTCATCCACTTCAAAAATACTGTTGAGAACGGATGGATATCCGTAAACCAGATGCACAGGAGGAATTTCCAGCAAATCCATGCAGCCTATGACTGCGAGCCTCTGCAGGTCATTTAACAAAAAATATTTAACTTTCGTATTTAACTTTACCTCTACCGCCATTAATATTCTACACGTCATATTACGAAAAATTATTTATCTTTACATCTGTTTTGATCAGCGAGTAATTTTTTCGCCCGCGGCATAAATACTGATCATTAAAGAAAAGAACGTCTTAGAGAAAAGCCAATGTAGGAAATCCCCGGTCTCCACTTGAGGGAGGATCTTCGTTATTTTGCTCTCTTTATCGGGATGTGGGAAATGACTGTGGCTGTATGACGCCCTCATGATCTGCAGAAAGGGGGAGGGAAAAGACATTCAAGCCCGACTGCTACAAAAAACTGTCGAATTGGTGGTGGCGACTGTACTTTCGGACTAATGGGATAGGGGTCGTAGTATTCTATACGTTAAAATAAGAAAAATTAATAGTTATAATATATCAGCATGACAGAAACACGTTTCCCTTCCATAAGAAATCACACGCCCGCGGGAGGCACGTTATTTCTTTCTGTTCGTGATCGCCTCTCGGCTGGAGAAAAGGCATGGCAGGAGATCACCGGTGGACGGGAAGCGATGTCTCCGTGGCGAGTGTCCCTTCCCGGCGAGCTGCCCGTGGGAAAGGCAGGCGGGCAGCGGTGTGTGGGTGCAGTACCGGGAGGAGGCTGCGGGCGCCGCTGTTGACCGAGGAGGAGCGAGAGGAAGGCCGGAGCGCTGCCGGCAGGCCCCCCCCCTGCGGCCCGGGCATCGCCCCCG